TTCTTAAACTTAAAAAAATGCTTACCGAATGTTTGTTTTGTTTTTGGAAATCAAATTAATTTGATAAAACGTGTTATTTATTAACATTTTATATATGTGATATTTTTTATACCCTTGCAGGGTATTATAATTTCAGTCAGAAGTTTGCAACGCAGTGAAGGAGGCACCTCCGACCATATAAAGTATATATATTCTTGATCAGGATCAACAGGCGAGTCGATCTAGCCATGTCCGTCTGTCCGTCTGTCCGTCTGTCCGTTTCTACGCAAACTAGTCTCTCAGTTTTGAAGCTATCTGAATGAAACTTTGTAGTTAGCCTTCTATATACTCTCACTCGTATATATGTCGGAACGGGCCGGATCGGACGACTATATCATATAGCTGCCATAGGAATGATCGGATAATTTTTTCAAAAAAAATTATAACAATTTCAGTTTTCAACAGAATTTGATCAAATTTAAGATATATCCATTTTACTATACTCTACAATTTTGTATAAAATTTAATGAAAATCGTACAACTATATCATATAGCTCCCATAGGAACGATCGAGAAATTAATACAATTAAATTTATAACCTTTTCAGTTTTCAACAGATTTTCATCAAATTTGAAGTATAATCATTTTATATCCATCTTAATGAATCTTATGAAAATCGGACTACTATATTATATAGGTGCCATACAAACGATCGTTAGATGTGGAGAAAAATACACATCTGTGACTGTAAAACTGCAAATATAATATGTAAAGGTGAATGAAATGAAAGCAGGTATTACTTCATTGTTTTTTAACACAAATAAATATAATTTATATTGTTGGGATTCCAAGTCATAGAAGTTCTATCTGCAAGGGTATATAAACTTCGGCGTGCCGAAGTTAGCTTCCTTTCTTGTTTTTTCCTATATTTATATATATATATATTTTTTTTTTTTCTTATAAGAAATATTTATTAATATATTATATTTAAAAATGATTGATTATTGGACAGTTGTACAGCCCACGATACCAACGTCGCAGCAATTAAATACGATTTTTGAAAGAAATTAATAAACGTGAAAATGCCATGGAAGAGAAAGACCCTTTTATTGTCTAAATATATTAGACAATAGAATTTGTATAAAATATATATATACTAAATTTTTTATTAAGATGATTATGTATCACTTTCATTCAATTCACATTTAGTAACTTCAATTTAAAATACTTTAAATAAATAACTTAAGCAAACATAAATATCTTAATTTAATAAATACTTACAGTGTGAAATTTGTCATTCATTATGTAGAAATTTATTTATTTCTTTATATGCAGCTTTCAAATGTAATTTCTTATTTATTTTATATACAATTTCAAAGAAAATTAATATAAAATCTTAGGCGCAATAAATAAAATTTTAAAAAGTTCAAAGTACAGATAATGAATGCTTGTTATTTGTTAATAATAATTCCATATATATTGGCACTCCATAGGTATCACATGTTGCATAAGCCATAACTTAATATTATTATCTATATATATAAAAATGCTCTGTTCGTGTCTACATCCTTCATAGACTCGAAAAGTTCTGAACCGTTTAAGCCCAAATTTTTTCACAACATGCGTTGAGGTTCCAGCTCGGTTATTGACTACTTTTGACGTTGATAGCTTATTTGCGGTGGCGAATATATCTATTGTTTTAGCGTTTCCAAGTGCCCCTACTGCTGCGCCATCTACAGGCAGCCAGCTGAATCAAAGCATTTCCTGTCAAACATTCAAAACATATTGAAAGAAGAAACTTGAAAAGTTCTGAACCGTTTATGCCCAAATTTTTAGAGAAGATGCGTTGAGGTTCCAGCTCGGTTATTGACTACTTTTGATGTTGATAGCTTATCTGCGGTTGCGAATATATCTATTTTTTTAGCGTTTCCCGTGCCCCTACTACTGCGCCCTCTACAAGCAAATCAAAGCATTTCCTGTCAAACATTAAAAACATATTGAAAGAAGAAATTGGAGATACAAATTTTATTTTTTGTTCAGGTTCAGTAAGAAACGAAGTCATGCCACCAAAGAAGTCGAGATTGGGTCGTCGTATTCGCAATACAGAAGCAAAAAGACGTAAGATTACGAATATGACTGACGAAGAACGGGCCTCCATCCGAGAGACGCGGTTGCGCGATGAACTTTTACTCATACAGGTTAATGGTTCGGAGGACCGATTGCAATCATATATTGAAATGTCGTCAGTTGTTTCATCAGTACATTGTCGATATGTATGCAAAAATTGAAACAACGTTTGCTGTTCCTCCGATTGAATCAGAAGAAACTTCGGTCCGAGGAATATATCCATTTGCGGGATGCTGTGATGAATGACCGTAATACAACCAACGTTGGAAAGCTCACGATTTTGCCATCCTCATACATAGGTAGTCCGAGCCACATGCATGAATATGCTCAAGATGCCCAGGCATATGTTCGTTGCTACGGCCGTACAGACTTATTTATCACCTTCACATGCAATCCAGCTTGGGACGAGATAGTTCAGCTGTTATTTCCTGGACAATCATATAGGAATAGGCATGACATCACAGCCCGTGTTTTTAGACAAAAGCTCAAGTCACTGATGGATTTCATTGTGAAACATGGAGTTTTGGGATCTGAGCGGTGCTGGATGTATTCAGTAGAATGGCAGAAGAGAGGATTGGCGCATGCGCACATACTGATTTGGCTGTATGATAAAATTACTCCAGACGAAATTGACAATGTGATATGCGCTGAGATTCCACGGGCAGAGGTTGATACAGATTTGCATGCAGTTGTCATCAAGAACATGATCCATGGCCCATGTGGTACCCTCAACCGAAGTTCACAATGCATGGTAGACGGGAAGTGTTCCAAGCGATATCCTCGAGCATTTACAGCCAACACCGTAACAGGGGACGATGGATATCCTCTGTATAGGAGACGGTCAACTGAAGATGGAGGGACTTCGGCAACTTTAAACATGAGAATTGGTGATATTGAGGTAAACAATCGTTGGGTGGTTCCATACTCACCACTATTGTCAAAATCATACAAAGCGCACATCAACGTAGAATATTGCAATTCCGTGAAATCGATTAAATATATCTGCAAGTACGTAAATAAAGGCAGCGATATGGCAGTTTTTGGTGTTCAGGCAGAAAATGGGGACAGCAATGCAGTACGAGTTGTCGATGAAATATCTCAATACCAGGCTGGAAGATACAAAAGCAGCAACGAGGTTGCATGGAGAATTTGTTCTTTCCCCATTCATGAACGCTATCCAGCTTTAGTTCACTTGGCAGTCCATTTGGAGAATGGTCAACGTATCTATTTCACAGAAAGAAATGTGCAAGAAAGAGTCCTGAATCCGCCAGCGACAACTCTGACTGCCTTCTTCACCTTATGCCAGGAAGATGATTTTGCCGGAACATTGATGTATTCAGAAGTGCCCTCTTAACCACAATATGCCACAGAGAAACGTGGCAGGGTACAGCTAGTTATAAATATATTAATATTTTCCAGGATACTGAGGATTTGGCCAAGATGGAGATGGTGGGATATCCTGAAGCTGGTCCTGAACTGACATTGTATCCAATCCCCAATGGAGCGGCACATCCTTGGTAATCCGCTCTGCTAAAAGTTCCTTAGCCTCCCGATTTAAGTTGAGTTTATTACTTCATTTCATTAGGTTGTAAAATGTCATATTTGAGGGAAAAGATAATATAGAGAATAAGATGTGAATGCCATATGATGGTTTTCTAGAATTTTCGGATAAAACTTTCGATTCCAGAACTTTAGGACGTACAGATTACGATTTAAAACCAACCATTAAAACTTCAACTTTTGTTTTTGTTCTGATTTTAGTTTTTCTTTTCGCAATAATTCCAAAAACTTGTTAGTTATGTGTGTGAGTGTTTGTGTGTTGAGTGTGAAGAGAATGAGTTTCCACTTGGGGTTTTCATTTAGAATCGATTTAATTATTATTAAACACTTGCTTAATGCATTCGAATGCTAAATTAAGTATTGCTTATGTTGAATATAATGCACACAAAGTAAGGTTTCCATTTTGTTATCAGTATCGGTAACGTTATCATCGCTTACAAGATACCCAAAAAAAATTACATATATATATATAGATATATAGGAAAGTGATTTTCGAGACTAACTTTATCGTTCTCATTAGCTTTCGATTACATATATGTTATGTAGAAATAGGTGTGTGGAGGGGAGTGTGGCCGAGTGATTTGAGGGGTTTTGTCTTAGAGCCTAGATTCAAGGATTCCCTTCATCGTTTTTTGTGAATTGAATTCTCAAATGTTTCGCTAGTCCGCTAGCTATATACAATATATGTATTTGTATGTTGTTCACATTAACACTTGTAGTCTGAGTATATAAGAAGCGCGAAAAATTGATTGTTGCTGCAGTTTAGTTTTAGTTTGTTTTTTCTTGATTTGTATTTGTTGCATATATGAATAGGTATACTCATAGTAGATATCATTATGTTCACTGTCTCTTTTGCATGATTTCTCTAAGATTTCTTACGATGAGAAGGAAGGCATGCCAAACGTGTGCAACTCGGTTGTGGTAGGTGTGAGTGTTTTCTTAAATTCAAATCGTTTTCAATAATAACAAATCTATGCAAAAACAATTTGCAAATTGCACAAGTAAAATACAAATAGGGGACTTCTTTATAATATATATATATGTATATATAATTATCAATATCTGAGTGTGTATATGTATATTTCTCTCCCTATACATACAAGTGTGTATATCAATTTATTTGGCTTTTATCTAGGTTTAAATATTCGTACAAGTGTGTAAAACTAGAAATAGGATTTCGGGTGCTGGGCAATCGAAAAAATAGGTGATACGTAATCGGATTGGGAATCGGTATCGGTATCGGAATTGGAATTGGAATATCGGTGTCAGAAGGCGGGAGACAAGCATTTTTCTGAAACCTTGGTGGCAAAAGCAAAATTTCTTTCTTTGTTATGTTTTTTTTTTTGGGATGAAGAAGCGAAAACTATGGCCAAAACTACGAGGCAACATCCAAATTAAGTTCTAATGTTCATGATGCGAATTATTAAGGGAAAGCGGAGGAAGGTAACAGGAAAAAGGATGTATAGGAAGGATAGATGGAGTAGGATCCTCCTTATATTTACGATCTAAAGCTGAGCCACATATAAAATATAGAAATTATTTTAGCATGGTGATTAGACTCGTTTAAAGAAATACAGAACCAAAAAAATATAAACTCATGTGTATCAGAGAGAGATGGAGCGATAGAGAGAGACGGTGAGAGAAGAGAGAGAGAGAGAGTCGATGATTTGGCGATAGTTTCACATTTATAGTAGATAGTTTTCGGTAAGGCATTAATCACAGGGGTAACCCCCACTGATTTATCGATATAATACGATAGTTTCAAGCTCTGGTTTGTAGGAACAAAAGAAAAACAATTCGAAAATACGATTGATATTCCCATTTTCATGCACACACAAGGAAACATCAAAGATTGTTATATCAAAAATGGTGAAGGTGCCAGTCTGCCACAGGATGATCCGTTGGATGATAGGGAGCCATTTGATGGTCCACAGCAAAATCAGGTTGATTGTCAAGCTCAATGAATGAATGAGGGGACCGGCAACAGGACCTGGAGAAACACTCATGCCGCATGCTGAAGTGCTAGGACAATACTCTAAAAATAGGATGCATAACGCCAAAGGATTAAGCATCTTATTCATCATATTGTCACATGCAAATATGTGTGTGTGTTCTAGTTCTACTTTTCTGGTTATCTGTATAGACTGGGTGTTTTTTATGGTTTTAGCTTTGGTTTAACATCGATTATCAACACGTTCGATTATCAACAGTTAGAGCAGCTTTCGCAGCAAAACAATAGAGGTGTATATTTATTTATTTTTCCTTTTTTTCTTTTTTTGGTGATTAAAGCGCTTAAGCCAATTAGCGAATTAGTTTCGATAAGTATAAATAAGTATAGGTGTGTCAGCTTAGTCGACTGCTGCCTAATGTATATCCATTTATAGGTTTAATATTTTTCAATTTTTTTGTTTTGTTATTGCAAAAAAAATATATATGTCAACTGGCCTAATTAATTGGCTATCGGCACTTAATGATAGTTGTCAACTTGAGTTTCTCCCTCGCCTGGCAAGCATTTCAATAAAAATGCCTAAGATATAGAGCAAATGCCTAATAAATAATTTGTGTATGCTTTTTGTTTTATTTTTTTTATTAATTACCTATATTTATCCATACTCTGGCATTATACACAAATATATATGTGTATATTTTCATATATTCGAAATATGTTTTCAAAAAGCGCTTCTCTGACTTCAATTGGTGTTTGTTTTCGGTTTTGGTTTTTGCTTTTCTCTGCAATAACTTTTGGTTTTTGCTTAACAATTTTTTTTTTCTATTCGGCTGATGCGGCTTTTGGCTGTTGTTAATTGAAATATTATGTTTGTTTTGTTTTTTATTTTATGCGTATATAATTTGCTATTAGTTGGAATTTCACTTAAGGACTCAAAACCTCTGTTCGTGTTGGCGTGTATCTCTGATGGGTGGCTTAATGAACTGCACCCCAGGGATCGGGATATATGGGATATAGTACACGGGCGAGCGTGTGTGAGTGTGCGTGTGTGTATCTGTGTGAGGGGGCGGGCGACTCTCGATCCTTTTCTTTTGACGTCTGTGAATTTGCGTGGAATTCGTTGTCTAATATCACTCATATCACTCGTATCACCCTATCGCTATCGCTCCCCCTGCCCCATGGCCAAGGCCACTACATACAACTACAACTACTACGGGCCCTGCGGTTGTTAATCACCACCTAAACTTAATGCCTGCACTATACGTGGATCAGCTTTACTGCCCTCACGGAACTCCTCGAGGGTCAGGCGATCGTCATGGTTCTTGTCCATCTGATCGAAGATCTTGTCCACTCGCTTCTGCGGCGTATTCTCATCCTCCGTCTGCGGCTGCTGACCCTGGGAGGGAAAGGAGTTACATTATTATAAGGATAAACTTGGAAATGTCGGAAATTCTAGAACTATAGATATTTACCACCATTTGGTAGATGGCATCCACTATGTTGTACATCTCCTCGCGGGTTATATAGCCATCATTGTCCACATCGTAGAGACGGAAGGCCCCTGGGAAAGAGTATTTGAAAATCGAATAAGTATTTATATTTTAAAAAGCTAAAAAGGGAAGAAAACATCATCATCTAAGCGAGTATCATAAGCTCTTACAATAGGTTTCATTTATGCGGCTATGACACTGAAGTAAAATAGGATTAAAAGTGAGCTTTTATTATTAAAGCCTCGACAGCAACCATAAGGGTTTACCTATGGTTCAAGCAAGACTATTGCCTAAGTTATAATATATTTATTAAAAATATCCATAGATCTAAAAAACAAACAAATATTAATTACAATTGTAACAAGAAAGAAAGCTAACTTTGACACGCCGAAGTTTGTATACCCTTGCAGATAGAACTTCTTTGACTAGAATCCATACAATATAAATTATATATATTTGTGTTAAAAACAGTGAAGTAATACCTGCATTCATTTCATTCACCTATACATATTATATTTTCAGTCTTCCATTCACAAATTTGTATTTTTCCTCTACATCAAACGATCGTTTGTATGGCACCTATATGATATAGTCGTCCGATTTTCATGAAATTTGACACAAAATTTAAGACTGATATAAAATGGCCATATCTCAAATTTGATGAAAATCAGATGAAAACTGAAAAAGTTATAATTTTTAATTGTATTAATTTCTCGATCGTTCCTATGGGAGCTATATGATATAGTAGTCCGATTTTTAAAAAATTGTACACAAAATTGTAGAGTATAATAAAATGGCTATACCTCAAATTTGATCCAATTCTATTGAAAACTGAAAATGTTATAATTTTTTTGTAAAAATTATCCCATCATTTCTATGGCAGCTATATGATATAGTTGTCCGATCTAGACCGTTCCGACATATATACGAGTGAGAGTATATAGAAGGCAAACTACAAAGTTTCATTCAGATAGCTTCAAAACTGAGAGACTAGTTTGCGTAGAAACGGACAGACGGACAGACGGACAGACGGACATGGCAATATCGACTCGGCTGTTGATCCTGATCAAGAATATATATACTTTATATGGTCGGAGGTGCCTCCTTCACTGCGTTGCAAACTTCTGACTGAAATTATAATACCCTGCAAGGGTATAAAAATACCGCTTTAATCCATTTAATTTAATCTAGAATGTGCATTACAATATAATAATAAACATAATACTTATAATATAATTATAAATATTTATTTATTTTTATTGGAGACCAAATTGTTGGAATGGACATACAATATGAACAATATATATTTCACTTTGCTTCTTGGTGGTGCCTAATAATAATTGTAGTCTCTGACAACTACCATAGAACTCCACTAAAAAGAAATAGCAATAGATATTGCTACAAACTTAATGAAATAAAAAAAATAGTTATCGGGTTAATAATCCCATTGAAGAAATCGTTCATTTCCCTGTGAAATTTTCCAATTATTATATTCTAATTAAATAAATCTCTGTGCGTTTTGATCATTGGGAGTTTAGAAACAAGGAGATAAAAGAGATTCCTAAAAGGCATTGTTTTGTACAGCGAATTAAACTGTTTTATTCTATTTTTTAATGTCTTTGATCGTAGTCAGTTTCAATAAATAATTAAATAAATAAAACAACACATATTTATAGATTTTTCTTTTAAGGTATTAATGAAACCTAAATTTAATGCAAATTCCATTGTCATAGATGCAATACTTCATATAAATAACAAAAATAATAGAAAATATTTGTGTAAGTAATTTTAAAGCCTATGTGACTTTGTTTTATTTAAAGAATTTTTTATTTTTCTTTGATAAATATAAATAATTGACTTTAATCAGTTGTGCTTAAGACATTACAAATCTCAGCCCGGCCTTCGCGCAGTTTTCATTGAATAAAAGCAATACACCTTTACATCACATTATAATTTTAAGGATAAACTAATTCATTTATAGGGTAATATATTTACTTTGTATATAGAGATAATTTTAAAACAATATCATAACATATTTAACCTAATTTTGATTCATATTTATTAATTTATATTTATATTTCCTACTAACTTAACTTTAATTGTGCCTCAATGAGTCCAGGTGATTTATTATAATAGCATATGATACGGTTTATATAGATTTTAAACTTACAATGCAACTTCTCGTCCAGATTTCCCCGCGATGTTATGGACAAAGCTCGAATGAACTCCTCGAACTCAATGGCGCCGTCCTGCAAAGTGAAATATATCTTAGTTCTATCACGAATTTCAATACATTTACAAAGGCTAAAGATAATCAATATAAATATACAAATAATGTAATGTAAATCAATTTATATACATTTATTATTTTATTTTATTTACATTCCATACTCACATTATTCTCATCGAAGACACGAAAGACCAGGGATGCAAATTTACTGGGATCTCCGTCGGGGAAGAATTGCTTGTAGATTTTGATGAAGCCCTGGGGAAAGAGATAGAGAGAGAGAGAAAGAGAGGGCAAGATGGTGCGGCGAACAAGAGACGGAGAGAGAGATGAGACAAGTAAATATTTGTGGACTGCAAAGGCGTTCTGAGTTCGAGTTCCAGTTCGAGTTGAAGTTCGAGTTAGGGAGGTAAGCAAGTCAGAACTAGACACATAAAATAGCATTAAAGTGAAAATTTCGAAAATACTGCAGTTAAGTGAAACAAATGACTTGCAAGGATTGTGGCTTTGGGTCCTGGGTTTGTCCTGTACATATGTACATACATATGTATATGGAATGCATTGTGTGTAAGTGTAAGCAAAGCAAAGGGATATTTATGGGCAAGAGGAAATGCAGTTTATTTTTGCTACAGCTCCCCGGAATCGAAATACTTGAAATTGTCAAATCAATGAATGGATTACCCCCCTGCATCAGGACATGTAATGTAATGTACGTTTTCTGGTATTTATTTTATTCATGCCACAAAAGTCAGCCACAAAAAAAAAAACGAACGAATAAGGACAAACCGCATTTCAGGATTTCAGGATGGTCACTGGTGTGGCTTAACTATAAATGTGTGTAAACTATATAGATACATAAATGTATATATAGTTTTGCGGGGAATGACCCTCAATAAGAGGATTCCTTTTGCGGTTGGTTATGATGAAAGCCATGGTAACGAAGCTGATGATGATGATGATGATGCTGGTTAAATATGTTGGTACTCACTTGCTCGGTCAGCAGACCATTGGGACAGTCTTTGAGAAAGCCTTTGTGCCTTCGGTGTGTCAGAGGTCAGAGGTCGGGATAGCGGATAGCATAGAGACAGCAAGTGGGATGGTGTATAGAGAGACAGGGCGATAATAGATAAATAGATTAGCATAAAAGGGGGTCAGACAGAGAGACATATAGAGACAGATATAGAGAGAGAGAGAGAGAGAGATACAGTGTGTGGGAGAAGGACAGCGTACCGAGAGATAACCAGAAATAATAAAGATCAAAACTTAAATTAAAAACCAATAATGTCCAGAGCACACCCACCACACACACACACGCTTAACACACAACAAATGAAAGATAAATATTGGCTTGGGAAAGATGTTTACCTTGCCGCTGCCCGCGGCCAAAATTCGCACACTGCCTGCTTTTTCTGTTGCTTTTGCATTTTAAATTTTATTTACATTTTATACCGCGCTGGAATTAATTTGCACTCATCGCCAAACCCTCTCCCTCCCCATTTAAAATTTGTTGCAATTTTACCATTAATTATACCTCCAATAAATTATAAAAAAAAGGAGAAATTCGATTCAAAACGAACACGTAGAATACACAAAAAAAGGAAACGAGTAGGAAAAACTGTGGGGAAAGTAGAAAATGCTTACCATTGACGAATTTCCTTTTCGGTGACTGCAAAGAGAAGATAGAGAGAGAACGAGATTAGTTAAGCACTTGCAGTGAGACAACACACTTATCAAGGACCTCGCCAAAGTGTCCCAAGGCTATCAGTCTTAATATCAAAATCAACCCAAGTGCCCGTCCCAAAACCCGGCTGAGCCGCTGAGTTATGGCGGCTTAGGTTGTGCTCTAAGGATCGGCTGTCCTTGGAGATTGATGGCGTTCACTTGACAGGCTTAGCAAGGGATAGCATCCCTTGCCCTCGGATGCTGCGCCCACACTCCGTATGAGTAATAAGCTAACGAAATTTATGACCTGCGACAGGGAAATGCAACGCGAACGCTGAGTGCACAATTCATTTAATAAATCATTTAATTAATTACAGCCAGGCAACTGAATAAATCAATTACATAACACAACTAGTTGTGAGCCCTTTAAAATATAGGTGTTACTTTAAATTTAAAGTAAAGTTAGGCCTCTGAATGTTTGTTTTAAATTTGTTACTGTTTCAAATAATTTCAGCTTAGGCTTCGACTTTTCCAGAATCTAACCAATTTATGGACCTACTTTTACTCTGTATTTGTGTGTGGGGGGTTTTCCCTACAATTATACGTGAGAAGCCAGCGAAAAACCACTTTGAAAATGAAAAACAAAACGAGAAAAACCCCACTGATGATGATGGAGATGTACATGGCACCCTGGCTCTATTCCCACCATATAAAAAAAGGTACCTATTTCTTTTTTTTTCTACAAATAAAAAACAGAGCCTAACCTCTGACACCCAGGAAAAGAGAGAGAAAAAAGAAGCACACACACAAAAATTTGACTTCAGCTGCTGCACGCAATTGAAATTGGCCCATAGCCTAGGCCCATCTAGATTGGGGAAATGCTAAGGGAAATGGTAAGGGGGAAATTCTAAGAGGAATTTTTAGGGGAATGGTAAGTGGTGTGTGTGTGTGTGTGTACCCAAATAACCAGACACAGGACACCCACAGCCATGCCGATGGCCCCACAGGCCTTTTAAAAGTCTGCGCACGCCAAACGCGTTGGCTAAGTAAGCTCCAAGGAGCGTTATCCTTGTGTCGCTGTCGATGTCGGCCGACGACTTTTACTGCGGCTACATGAATAATACATATATATATATATGTATATATCCTCCCTAGGCCCTCCCTCGTAATCAGTATTCCGTATCGCCCCGTATGAGGAGAATGGCGGTGGAATGTTGGTGTTTGTGCAACGCCGGCGGCTGTAAAGCAAATTAGTTCATAGCCAGGACCGAACCAGAGTGTGCTACTTACCAGGAATACACTCCAGGACACACCAGCACCACACCCCTCCTTTAGGCGGCAAAAAATTATTTCGATTTAAATGTTTATTTGCACAAGGCAGCGTTTTTTTTTTTATTTGCGCTCCCCTCGAAAGTTGTTTGTGGCCCGCAGCGTTTATTCATTTTTCTTGTTCACCAAAAAATAAAAAAAAGGCCAAAATGCCGCCAGTTTAGCCTTTTTCTTTTTTGTATTTATTTAATTTAATTTTAAACTGATTTAATTTGAACTTTTTGCACACACACATACATATATACTTACGCATACATGCAAAAGGCGGAAAGGAGCTCCCGCTGGGTGTGGCCACATGCTAATTAATGAATGGCTGGCAAAGGGCCTCGCCCTCTTCCGCTTTTCCATTTCCCCCCCGCACCCTGGATGGGGGGGGGGGTTGGGTGGAGAGGGTAACGAAAGGCAAACTTTAAATGAGCTGCGAGCTGCATGCGGGCCACACACACTCACTCACACACACACAGCAAGTCGAGTGCCCCGACAATTGAAATACCTTTCAAAAAGTTTTAAAAGCTTATTACCAACTGCAGGAAATAATTTTATTTATCGGTACCTTATCGATATATAATTTGATGTTTTTAACTTTTATATCGAACTGTGACAAAGTCTCAACTTAACTTTAACTATAATTGTAAGAAATATTTATATCCAGAAGTTATCAAAAAGTTCGTTTCGGAACTTAAAAAATGAATGGTTATCGTTTCCTTAACTTACCTAACATTTTCTTGTTTTTGTTTAATAATATCGATATTCAAACAATAATTGCTGTTTTTCGATATGTTAAAGCTATACGTACCAAACTGTACATTTTTAAAATTATATTGGGCGCAATATTCTTGTCGTTGTATAATATCGTACTTTTCTATCAATAAATTTAAATACCTCGATTTGTTATCAATATAAAAAATTATTTTTTGACCTTGCGGTATCGTTATTCTATTCGATATATAGAATAATACGTTATTTTTTAAACTATCATTGTCAGAAATAATAATTTCTATAAGTTAAAATTAGGTTAGTTTGGCTTCCAGTCGCATCAAGTACCTAAAATATATTCAAGAGATAAATGCTGTACTTTTTGATATACCAAATTTTGATATATCAAACTTTTTAACATTGTTGATACTATATTTATATTGTATAATATATATATATATATCTGTCGATATATTTTATCGTACTTTTCCCCTTGATATATTTACATCCCTCGATATGTTTTTTATTTATATAGATAAATTTATATTTTTCCTTTGCAATATATCGATATTTTTTTTGATATATCGAACTGTGCCAAAGACGAGCCTTAACTGCTTAAAGTATCTTTGTCAGAAATAATTATATCTAGAAGTTATGTAAAACTTAGTGTCTATTATGTTTAAAATATAATCGTTATCGATCCCCGAAATTATCCTAACATTTTGGGTTTTTGTTTGTTAATACGTTATTCAAAGAATAAATTTTATGTTTTTCGGTTTGTCAAATATAGATATATAAAACTTTAAAACTTTTTCAATATGTCATTGAGCGCAATTCTTCTTATCAATAATTAAAATCGGATTTTATATTTCGATAAATGTACATCCTATTCAAAGTATAAACCAAACTTAGAGTAAATAAAAGACCTAACCCGTAAGCCAGCAAACTTCCCTTTCTGACCTTAGCTTACACAATATAAATTAAGCACCCAAGTTATAAAATTCTACTTTTGTGGCTAAAACTATCCCCTCTCAGGCTTTAATAATAATATAGACTTATAATTTGATTTATTTACTTAATAACCTGAGGCTACAAGTATAATTTAATTTAATTCAATTAATTATCATTTTAAAACCTGCAAAAATGCAGACACTGTGTACACCCCTTAAACATATGCTCATTGAGCATGCCAAGTACGGGAAAACACGCGTGAAGGGACAAGGACTGTGCGTGTTTTTTTCCCCCTTCTTTTTTTTTGTTGGGTAGCAACTTTGGCAACAACCTTGCAGTTGGCTTCGCAAGGATATGTGTGTGCGTCCCCCCTCTCGGCTCAAATATTTACCAAACTTGATTAGATTCCAGCGATTCCGAGGCGGGGCAACAAGTGACCTCGCTCCGGCTTTCGGCTTAACCCTGAGCACACAGCCGCCGTCGTCGTCGTCGTTGCCACATCGCATGTCTGCGGTTAACCCTCTGGTGGCCTTGCACGCAACTGAAACGCAACAGCTCACCTCTACGGAACGGGGGGATGAGAGCAGCCATTGTCCCACGGATTCCATGGAACCCAGGCAAAACACACACAGAGACAAAACCTGGACAAATTGGCCAGCCAGGGAAATGGTGTGGAACCTGCAACCTAAGCCAGACTCAGATCCTATCTAAAATTGGCTCTCTGGTGCGACTAATTAATCATGATCATATCTAAAATTAATTCTGTGAATCAGAATGGCAACACAAAGAGAAAGAAATCGAGGGAAAGGGGTTAAAATTTCACTGTTTCATTTAATTTAATTTGCATATATTTAATTACAACAATAAACTACTAATTAAGCTCCAAAATCTATGTCATATCCCTTGACATTCATTTCCTTGCATATTTTTGGGCTTGCATCGGTTATATCTTAATCTCCGTTATTTCCGTTTCCTGTTCAAAGCCTTAACCCTTGACAGAACTCAAGTATAACATAGTTCTGATTGGGTTTGTTAAGTGTTAAGTGCAGCAACCCGATCATTTCGCAAATTAGCAGCTCAGTTTGCTTTGATTGATTATTTACAAACAACTTACTACTAATTAAGCTCAAAAAACTATTTCTTTGACATTAATTTCCTTGCATATTTTTAGGCTTGCGCCGGTTATATTTTGATCTCTGTTATTTCCGTTTCCTGTTCAAAGCCTTAACCCTTGACAGAACTCAAGTATAACGTAGTTCTGATTGGGTTTTCCCCTATTGGCAGCCATTGTTAAGTGCAGCAACCCGATCATTTCGCAAATTAGCAGCTCAGTTTGCTTTTGATTGAGTTTGCCAGCAAGTTCATTGTTGCCTTTATGCTAAAACGTCGCTGCCAGCTGAAGTTGATGGCAAAGCACATCATAATTTTCCATCGATTGGCAATTTTCTAATGTCGTTATATGGCGAATCGAGACCAGGACCAGGACCAGGACCAGGACCAGGATCGAACCCTGTCAGCCTCCTTCCCTGGCGAATCGCTTTCTGTTTGTTGCTTTATCAATTTGCGTCTATAAACGAGCAGCAGCCAGGGAATGGCAGTTGGAATTGAACAGAGCTGCACTGAAGCGACTAACTGAGTCAATGAATGAATGGAGTCGGGGAAAGTCGGGGGAAGTCGGGGGAGGTAGGAGTTGGGTATCCCGGGAGGTCCAGTGCCCACTCCCGGTGCCATTAGCAAATTATACACAACATGTGTGCACAGTGCAGAGTGCACAGTGGGGCAGTGCGATTTAAACTTACTCACTTTACCCCTTATCCCTTGGAAACGTCTTTTGATTTGCTTCTTTGATTACACCGAAAGAAACTTCTAATTCTAAGGATCTTTTAAGTCCTAATGCAACAGATTTTGAAGTTCTTAAATGAATACTTAAGCAAAACGAATTGTGTTCTGTTTTTTTTACAATAGTTTCCTTGGCCTTTTCTGAGTTATTAACTTTAAGCATTTTATTTCAAATTGAACATAAACATG